CATCATAATGAATCTTCAACATTTTTGCCCATCAATTTTTTGAGGACCCTGGAATATACTACTGTTCATCCACAATATTGTTCAGGTTTCATAGTGCTGCATTATCTTATCAAGGTTCTTTCAAACCCAAGACTTCGTTGAAGAAACAAATACTGTACAATGTAAATTACGTGTAAACTGTATTACAGAACAAATCGAATCTGATGTGAATTCAAGCAATTGCGTGCTTTTTTTTTACTATATGTGAGGGCGACACAAAATTCCCACGGGCATGTTTTTCGTGTGAGAGCTCCCCCCCCCCCAACTAGGAATTGAAAGAACAAAAACATCAAGATTCCAGGACAAGAAAATACAGTATATTTCCGAAATTCTTCTCATCAGACTTCCAAAATCCTTCCCATCAGACCTCTGAACTCACTCACGATCTCGACAGAAAATAATAAATTAGGAAACCCAGCAGAAGAAACCATTCTAGACTAAACAGATTCCATCCTTCTACTTCTGCTTCCCAATTCCACCCATGACAACACCTGGTATATTGGCTTTAAATGCATCTATCCCAGAATCAATCTCATCATCAGGTCCTCTGATAACTTTATCTGGTGGATTTTGAGAATCGCCCGGAAATCGAATTGTTGAAGCTCCATTGACAGGGACAATGACGACCAAAACGATTTGAATAAGCGCTGAAGTAGGACATATCGAAGCAGTTGATTTCATGATGTGATTATTTAAAAAAATGGCTTGTCTGCTGGGTAGAATTGAAAGACTCATTATAGATGCAGTATATCACGTCAAGAAACCTACTGATTATTAAAGGACGCGAGATTCAAAAAATGCACATTTAATATAGGAATTTGCAAAATTAGTTTCTCATAAATTATTTTCTATGCTCCAAATAACCAAGTCAGAAAACATGAAAAAAATGGCAGCAAAACTAAAATTTCGTGAGCAAAACCCTGAAAATTTTCTTCACATTTTCAAAAACGATATTCGCGAAACTGTTGAAGCACGCGAGTTTCAAAAAGATGCAAAGACAAATGGTAGAAAGAAGCATTTTCATGCGTTTTTAGGAGGCAGATAAGTTTTTAAAATACTGTACTGTACTGTACTGTTGCTGAGACTGATGCAGTCATGGCTTTTCCTTTATTTTAATTTTAAGTTTCTTCTACTGCTGTCACATAATCAGGACGAGAAGATGATTGTTTACAGTTTCTGGTGACTTCATACGAAATGACAGGAGCAATTTTTGCTCAACACAAGAACATTTTCCTGATAATACTTCAACAGCAACTATTTCAAAAAATGAATAAATATAAAGTCGTCCATATTGTTCTCATTTAAAAATGATATCAATAACTTGTATCGCCGAATTCAAATCTACCGACATTTGTCCAGTTCCATTTCAAGAAGGTTTATACGGACATCCATTTTGAAGATACAGTAGTTGTGTTCTTTAAAAGCATGGGATCTTTTATTTTTATTATTGGTATCATATGATATGATTTCTGAGCCTTTTTTTTACCTACAATGTTTTTATCCCTCACTGCCTGGGTTGATGCGGGTTTCCCATTTTTTGGCAAAGTATTAGTTCTGTGGATACATGTTTTAAAGTATGTTTCTTACTTCTTTGAATGGCATGATTTTTCTTTCATGGGAATTTTCCAGAATTTGTCTCTTCCCGACATTTCATCTAACCGTGAATTTTGTTTCTTCTGACAGCGGTAAAATCTATTCTTTGGCAGACGTTTTGACGGAAACTAAAAACTAAATCGCAGAACATCCCAACAAAAAACCGCGTGGATCACGATAATTCGCAAGCAAAGCGCATGTCGGGAATAATTCGACCAAAAAAACATCTCGGTTGCCTTGACTTCCAACAACATTATATGAGTCAGTTTTCCTGGCTGACTCCAACTATCCCATATGTTGCTGTTTGCAGCTCAGCCAGAACAAAATAAAGTGGTGGAACGCCGCAGAAAAGCCGAAAGAATCGTAGGATTCTTGTTAATTATTTCAGGCTTTCTCTGGATTTTCTTATCCCAGATTAAATGCTCGGATTACACAGCCTTAATCGAGGTCAGAGGAGCAACAACGGATTCAGGTGATGTTTTAATAATTTATTTTCATTTTAGCAGCATAGAAATAAGAAAGCAAACGCAGCCTCAAGTCAATGTAAAAAAAATATTTGTAAATAATATTGTGGACAATACATACAGTATAAGCTAAACCACGTGTTAAAAAATCATCATTACTAATTTTAGCGCAAGAAAATCCTGGAGAGAGAATTTGCAGCTGTATTGTGCAATTTTGCAGTTACCTCTCTCTTGAAATCTTTTCTGCAAAAATCAGATCGTCGGATTCAAGGGTTTTATTCTAAGAATCCGCATTGATTTTTGCTGTTTGTGTTTGAAAAAAAAGTACATTAAAGATGGGGGTTTTTTTTCTCCTGTAACAAAGGGATTTTCTGGGAACATAGGGGATCTTGACCCCTTTGATATTACTGTACCATATGTTTACAGACGCCGTGGCGAAATTCGACAAACCCAGCAGAACCCAACGGGGTTGTTCTCAGAACTACATGAAACCCGAAGGAATTTCGGGATTGGTGACCCTGGTTCTCTCGTCTTGGAATCACGACAAACAACGCAGTGTGATTAGAAACACTTGGGGACGGACAGCAAATGCATTTTTCTTGGTTTCTCCGCCAAAACACGCAGAAATTGCAGAGGATTTCTGCGATTTAATAATAGTTCCGGGTGAAGAATCCTACAGGCGATTGACTGCGAAAACCATGTTCGGGCTTCGATGGGTGTCAAGGTTTGCAGATGTGGGAGAAAATGTCCCGGAGAGGAATTCCCGCAGGTAAAAAAAAGCCCACGGGAATGAAAATCTTGAATATATTTATGACCACATATTTTGGAACAGACCTCCTCTGAATACCATGGATTCTTTGAATGCTGTAGGATTTTGAAAAAAAAGGAAAAATTTTATGTCTCAATATACTGGTAAACCTCCAGATTTTTTTTTATTTCAGCTTCATGTAAAGATGAAACAACGTAGAAGAAAACAACCTCAAAAAAAATTTCAGAGATGAAAAAATACCAATAATGAGAGTCAAGGAAAATTATTTGATGAACATTTGATTACTGTAATACACAGTTGAACCTTGCTAGGTCAAACCTCCGTGAGTCAAATACCTCCCTAATTCAATTTTTTTTAGTCCCCATCTTCTGGCTTCCTTTAGAAAAAATGCATTAAAAACCTCCTTAACTTAGAGGCTTTTCCTCTAAAACCTCCATAAGTCAAATTTTTGAGTCCTTTAGGTTATTATTTTATTGAAACAGGAAAGAAGAAAAAACAACAAAAAATGGAATTTGATGTGCTCTGACAGAATGTGACAGACTAAATTGGGCAAATGAACCCCTGTCTCATCAAAGTTGAGTGCCCTGTCAACTCATTTTAGAAGCAACATAAGGCCCAGAATATCACATTGTACAATTTAGTGCAATTCTTCAATGTTTCCCACAATAAAAATGCTTGATTCTACAGGTAAAGCATCTATAATTCTAAATAACTCAAATCTCTCAAAGTTGAAACCCCCTGCCTAAGTCAAAATTGTTGTTGGTCACTTGAAAATTGGCTTAGATGGATTCAACTGTAGCATGATACAGTATTTTATTGTTGAGTTATTGCAGTGCTGGAGAAATGCACTAGAAAATGCCTTTATTTAAAAAGATATCAGAAAAAAGCATAGAGCAGTCATCATGTGTAAAACTTTTGCATAATTCTCACTCCAAATCCAAATTGCTGTTTTTTTTCAAGAAACAATTCTATGAGTGTTTCATTCTCACATTTTTACCTGTTGTATTTTTGTCAAAACTTGTTTTCTGCCAAGGCAGGTTATTTTATTCTTCTACTACAGAAAATGAAATGAAAATAGTTTGAAAATTCAAAAATTAGCTAGCAGTATAATACTGTACATTTTTTACGATTTAAGATAGATAATTCAGTAATTTCAAACTTTTTAAATCTGCAGTGCATTCGTAATTTTTCCTTCACAATTCTGCGCGCTAATTCAGTTCCCATAGGATTTTCTCCATGAGCTTTTTTTCGAGTTTATTTTTCTTGCTGCCATTGCAGGCAATTCTCAAAGTAATTTAATGGGAGTTGGGAAATTTAAAAATTATGTAGTGATAATGAAAACCATCTCCTCAATGGGAGAGGGGCCATTTATTTGTTTTTAATGATTTTTTTATCAGTATACTGCATTGTATAGGCGTGTATTTAAATTGTCAGCTACTCTCACATTTTATATTTCTCCTGTTTTTTTTAGGAGGCCTTCAAGTTTAGATACCATTAGGCCTCAGTTTGTTCTGAAAGTGGACGACGACACGTTCATCAACGTTCTGGTACTTCGAAAATTCCTGGAGTCCATATCCGGAAACGGAAGTTCCATCAGTGGCATGTTTGGACGTCTGGCGTCCGACTGGAAACCACACCGAGACCCGAAGTCCAAGTATTTTGTCTCGAACGCCGAATTTCCGCGGGAAGCATTTCCGGACTACTTAACAGGACCTGCGTATTTAATGACAATGGATGTCGTTGAAGCTCTCATCCAGGCACATGATCAACTTCAAGAATCGTCCGAATTTGTGTTCCCGTTAGAAGACGTTTACGTCACTGGGATTCTGAGAGAGTCACTAAACGGGTCCGGAAAGAAGGACGCCATTTTTGATGAAGGAAAGTTGTTTCATAACGAGTTTGTTCCGGTGAGCCGCTTGTGCTCCATTTTGAGTGTCCTCAGCATCCACAGAATTCCAGCTGGAAAGCAACTGGTTTTGCACGAAAGGCTTCAAACAGCCGAAAGCAAGTGTGCAAAAATCAGAGAAGAGTTCAAAATGTCTTAGGATAGAAGTGTTCAATTTTTTTGTGGAAAATTCGATGAGCTGAGAAATGAAAGACCTGGCTGTTTCCAGAGTCGGACATCTTCTTTCAGGGGATAATTCAAAAGTTTAAAAAAAATGCATCTCATTATATTGAGTCATGTGGAGTCAAAATGCTCTATAGTTCAAACTTCTCAACCTTATTGACCCCCAGCCCTTTTTTGTATACTATACAGTACAGTAGCGTACAAGTAATTTTTCCCGGCATTCAGCAAATAAACATTACTGTATTTTTTAAAGTTCTTTGTTGCATTCCTGAAACGGTTGTTTTCCTCTTTTCTCAGAAGCCCACTTATTCTTGAGACATATTCAATGCGAAAAAGGCAAATTTGTAATAATGTTCTGTTCCATTGATGCATAATTAATAAATCCATACCATCACGAAAAACTCATCACATCTTCTTCGCCACGTTCATCTCCTTTGCCGTTTACAAATTATTGCACGCACGAATGACTCTTTTTTCTTCTTCTTCCTCTCTGAGAGTGAGCAACTGCGAGGACTGATGATTCGCAATACACAAGAAAAGATTCTTTCCGTCGCGAAAGAAAAAAAATAAACCAAACAATCGTCTGCTGAGATCTCATCATCCGGATCAGTTCAAGTTTCAATTGATTGAAGAAGGAAATTGCGCTGTAGAAGTGAATGACCAAAACCTAACTCACTATATGTAACCAACCATGGCGGAAGTAAGCAACAAACCGGATTAAAATGTAACAAATCATTCAAGTATTCTGACAAATAACCTTATTTTCGAAAAAATCTTTTCCGAAACAGGAGTCTTCAAAAACATTCTAAAAAATCGTCCGCATTTCCCCCTTGAAAATCCACGAAGAAATGCTGGACCTATAGTGCTGAGTAGAATTTAACACAACACCCATCTGACATCTTACTCCATTCCAAGAAATTGAAATTAATCTTTCATACACCAGATGCAATTAAAGTGAAGCTATTACGAAGGGTTGCCTACGGCATTTGTCACATGCTAGCAAGAAATATTTTCCTCCAGATCGGTCACTCACCAAAACAGCACACAGCACGAATAAACAAACGCTCTCAAGCTCCTCTTGTCAGCATCAAATCCACAAGTTGTCCCGAAAAAAAAAACGGACTAGGACGCTTTTTTTTTTTTTTTTTTTTTTTTTTT